CTGCTATAAACATTAATAATATTATGATTTTTTTTTTTCAAATTATTATTATTTTATATTTATTATTCAATGATGATTGATGATTAAAAAGAAGTATTATACAAACCTGTTTTAAACTGTGTCAAATGAAGAAAATAATAATATAATTCCGTAACTAAAATATAATAGTAGACGTTAGTCGTTTTTATGTCACTCTTTTATATTCATGTAGTGTTTTTGTATAAATAAAATTCCTAAAAACCTTTAATAGTAGAATCTATTATTTAAGTATTTCTTATCTTACTGAATGTGTGCTAACGAAAAAATTATATCAATCTACACTATAGTTATGGTAATGTTGTACAAACAAGTACAAAAGATTTCGAGCATAAATAATATAATAATAACAATGAATATTTGTATTGGTCTGCGAGTTTGCTATTTAGATATATATAATAATAATGAGCCTACTTATGTACTGGCATAGCATCGTATTAAATATAGATATATACTGTAAAATTTTATATAGTTTTAAATAAATAATGGTACAATATTTCATATATATAGGTACATACATATATTTCACAATACGACAATATGAACTGTGACAGATATAATATAACTCTTTATTTAGCTATTTAGTGTATTGTGTAATATGTTGTAAGTATATCTAATGCCAATATATATAATTGTTGTAGATATTCATTAATTCTGTAGAGCAAGGCAATGTGAACACATGTGGAATGGCGTCATGCTATAGAACTCGTTCTACCATATGATTAAACCAGATATTATTTCAATGACACTGGTTATTGTTTTTGTAATTATAATTTTATTTACTTACATTATTTACATTACAGACATTAAACTAACTTTGACCGAGATAGAAAGCTGTCCCGTGATAAAGTGATATACATAGTGATGTTTACATAGCCATCAACTTGTTTACTATTCTAATTAATTAAAAAGAATATATTGGATAATTGGATATAACAAGTTTCAGGTTCTAAGTACGTCCCGATACCACATCCACAACTAGAGTATAGAATTAGTGTCTCCGTATCTTATAATATCACTGTCTGTGACTCAAATAGAAACTAAACCGATCTGTTGAATTCAAATAGTCCATCTCTATCAGATTTTATCAGACTAGCCATCATCTACCCCCGGGCGACTGCATTGGCATGGTATAAAAGACCTAAACTAACTGCGTACTCAAGTGGGTCGCTGCAGGCACAACTTCCTGCAATGGGGTAACGCTGGGGTGAAGGGGATTCTCAGTAATGTAGACTAACAATTCCATTGCTAGCAATGTACCATATCAGATTAACCTCCACGCGATTCCCCCTGGTTCAATCAATGTAAATCGATGTTATAAATTCTTGGTTAATTTGTCGCAATGAGCTAACTGACCTGACTTCATGCTCAATTTGCTTGACCTCCACTGGAGCCCCGCCAGCATAAACCGTTAGCGCAGGTGCGTGCCCCATTCCATTATCATATATAAAAATTGGGTTATAGTCCAGGCGGCTTGCGGGGCTTCACCCCAAACCATGTTCTATCTCCTGTCTATATTTGTGTCCAACGTCTTGGAAGAAGAAATAAAGCGACCGATTGTGCTTTTGAATTTGCTAAGTTCTGGTCTAAGCATATTTAGGTTTACCATTGACACGAAAGAAGAAGACTGCCACACATGCCCGTTGATGGGTGACTTTCAAACACACACACAATATAATAATGTACATAAAGGTAAAATAGCCAAACAGACGATGTTGTATCTACAAGAACTTGTGTTACAAGAAATATATGTAACATTCCTACTTTATACTATGCTTAGTTTAGGATAAGTCACAGAAACCTCCAGAGTTATTTATAACAGTAATATATAGTAACTACTAATTAGGTATTCTGTATTTAAGACATGTATAGAACGTAACTAGTTGATTCGCTAATTGCTTCCTATGCATTACTTCCTCCACTTCTTATCTTATATTTACTGTCAAGTATAAAACTGTGGTTCAGGGTAATCCACATCGTATTACAAAACAACTGACGAACAGCTTTTTGGCAATGCTGTTAACATTTAATGTTTCTGTCTACCAAAATAGTTTTTTTATGGAAGTAATATTTGTTACTTCCACAACCATGTGTCCATAGATTAATATGCGATTCAGTAATGACGAAATGAAAAAATATACTATTCTTTTCAAATTATGTATTGTTCTTATAAGTATAGAATTAATAAGAATTTATTATGTATTAATCGCCGCTACGTTTACTTTTTTTTAGATAAATCTAGAAAAAAAAATATTATATTCTTCCATCATGCCTCAAACAGTCGCGAAATATAATCTATCTTAAAAAAGTATTGAAAAACCTATTTTCTTGGTACCGTCTTCAGGGAATGAACTACTGTAGTAGCGACAATACAAGAAAGTTTGAACAAAAAACATAGATACGTAGTTATTGCTAGACAAAAAGTAGATACTTTTGTATCGAAATAACTTAAATACATGTAGGTACATTGGTACATATATCTCAGTTGACTACCCCTTATATAAACCACAGCAATTTCATATGTCACATCGTTTTCGTTCCATGTTTGTTGACATGACAAGGACTCTTAGAGTTCACTACAATATATACTGAAACCGTTACAGATAAACACAGCAAAAAAGTATATATTTCATCAAATAATACTAATTAACTTATTTTTGTATTACGTAAAAGGTAAACGGCGAACAATAAATCGTTAATTCAGTAATAAATGACGGGTTTTAGATAACCACAAGATAGATCATATGCTTTTCTTTTAAATCCATTATTGAAAATATCGCTACTAGTATAAGTGTATATAAGATAATATACTCAATATTCTTTTGCTATACTTTAACGCATTTATTTTAAATAGGGAGAGTAGATCACGTTTACGTGATGCCCACTACTTGATGGTTGTTCATTGGTCTTAATTTACGTGATACCCATATCACATAAATTAAGCCCAATGAACAAATCGTCATCAACGGTTATTATATATTATTGTTTTATTTATAGTATTATCTTTTAAGTATCATGTAAATTCTATAGAATACCATCATCCATAGGTACCTATTAAGCTGACAACACTATTAACCTCTGCATATTCCTAATGTCCTTTCGCCACTATTACATCTAAGATTTCTAATTTAATCTACTAATGTCTCAGTCAACTGATATCTAAATTATTACAGTTCCGTATTATTATTATTATTATTATTACATATAAACGTACGTGAATTGTAAATGTAATAATATTACTAGATTTATTACGATATATATATATACAAAAGATTACATGTTTATAACTACATATTTTACTGAACTGTCCAACTATTTTATTAATTTGAAATACATTTGAGTCGTTGAAATGGGTTTGAAGAAGGTTTTACTTCTTATAAAGGTAGGGATTAGTGTACAGTTCGCAACACATACAAAGCTGTACCTGGCTAAACATCTGTTAGACTGTTGGTAGAAATTTATGAATACTATGACGGTCTGTGGTCTAGCGGTTTAACACACCACTTTACTTCTGATGGTCGCGGAATCGATTCCTCGCACAATGTAAACATTTGTATTCATGTGGGTTTGTAATGTTCTGAGTGTTTTCTATATACTTGTTATACTGAAATTATTTATATTAAAAAAACATCTATTCAAAAGAGCAACACACAAGTTTCTTGCTCATTCTTCTTGTGATGAATATGCATTGGTGAATCCGAATGAGTGGTAGAATCAAAATATGCTTATTCAAAATTGCCTGTAATGAGGTATGCCCGCGATTTCAACCATGTTAAACTTTAATATAAATAAATATATAATAATATAAATGTGTTATTCTGATGCATAAGCTATATTACTGTAAAGTTTAATCAAAATCCGTTCAGTAGTTTTTGCGTGAAAGAGTAACAATTATCCATACTTACAAACTTCCGCATTTATATAATTTATATATTGAGATTACGATGTATACATTTAAAAAAATGTTTGTGTATAAGTTGTAATTGTAATACCCATAACACAGGCTTCGTTTAGCTTGTCTGGATCTTGATTGTCCTGAGTTATTATTATTATCTATTATTACTGTTACAATTATATTATATCATATAATCATAATAATAATATGTGTATATGACGTTTGTAAACTTCACCGAAATCGCTTTTAACAAAACAAACACACAAAAATTCTAAGAAACTTTTAACGCAAATTTATAAAAATACAACAACCAATTGGGTATTTAGAATTTTTTTTTTTTGGATAATAATGAAATAATAGTCCTGGAAGAATACGCCATCGGTTGGTAGCTCGGCCTTAAAATATAAAGAATATGGATGAATATAGCTCATTTAGCCGTCATCGTGGTAATTTACTGGGAATTGACCACAATGGATTTTAAAAAAGAACACAAGGAGGTCGACCTGTTAAAGTTCAATCTGAAGCTGACAGTACCGATATACACGTAAGGATATAAGAGCAATGATTACTATGTAAGGTGAACAACGTCTATCCTCATAGATTATGGGTCATTATCAGATGATTATGTTCTTAATGCATCGTTTTGCTATTGCAAAACGATGCATTAAGAACATAATCATCATTAATTGGAATCTGAGATATTTCTCTGTTTTTAATTAATGCTCAATAACTAGTACAATTATTATTACATACATTTATTATTTAGAAATATATACAGATATATGAATAATAAAATTGAAAAGTTACAGATGTAATTTTTAAACATTTTTTACCTGTTCAACCATAGGTTGAATGAACGACCGTTAGGTAGATAAGTTATACCAGTATACTATACGTATAGTCGTAGTCTGTTGGATATAATAATATAATATGTATGTCATGTAACGAATTTTAAAAACATATCACTATTTTTACCAAAATCAAGTTCAAATCTTTTAAAGTTATAGGTAAGTATAGACATATAGATAACCACAATATAGATAACTACGACGCTTATCATAAAATAGTTACTAAAACTAAAATTGTGACCACGAATGTAATAGAAAAGACCATACTGCGTGACGTTATCAGACTGGGTAACCGAGTTGTGAACTGATAAAGTAAACGGCACAGTATCTGAGCCAACAGGCAACACCGAGCGGACGCGGCGCCCCGCAGCGGACGTCTGCCTACTGAGTGCACGCACATTGACAGCTGAAACCGTCAACAAATCAGGAATAATATTCCACCGCAATACGGTCTGCTAACCATTCACGCTTACGACGAAAAGCGGATAACACGTGGTCGACTAATAATAGCAAAACATGTCACATTGCGCATGTTTTCAGTAGTTTACACAGTGCGACACAGTGACCACCGAGAACTAGCGAGCTTGTTAACACAGAGTATAAATGTTCATGCCGAGTATCTGCGAAAACGTTAGCAATGAGCAACAACAGAAAGTGGAGAGAATACACAGCGGCATTAAGTGGTGAGTGTTTGTATTTTTCGGTATATATTTGGATTGAGAACACTGTATGTTCAGAAATATTATAGTTTGTACATCTGGTACGAGCAAAGCCGGCAACACCGAGCCGGCTTTTTGTTTACACGAGTCGTTTTCCTGTAATTTGTAAATATCGCGATGATAGTTATTTGCTTAACACAAATCTATTTTGGTTTAAACTTATTAAAATTTTGTTTCAAAAGTATTATTGTATATGTAATAATTACTTTATCGTCAATTATTTTTAAAATCGTTATTTCATAACGATGAAACAGTATTGCATGGTCCGACTGTGATATGTATAATTATATCGATTTTATCACACATGCATACAAATTATTAGAATCTTACTTTAAACAGCATTATTTTTTATTGAATGTATATTTCATTAATTGACATGGGGGGCCGCGCTTTACTCGGATGATATATCAAAGTAAGGTCTTATTTATCATCTAATAATAAAAAACTCGTGTCACAACGGTTGTTTTCTAAGTCCTACGAAATGGCTTAAATGATTTTTATTTTTAAGTGTATATTTGATAAATATAAGAATAAATTGTAGGCTATTTTTTATACAGCTAGGTAATAAGACCATACTTATCCAGATATATTTTATGTGGCAAAACAATGTTTGCCGGGTCAGCTAGAACAAGTATCAATAAGAAAATATTATTAAAATTAATACTATATAACTAAGTAGTAAAAAACCTAAGTCCTTTATATCCTTGTGTTTTTGCACACTTAGAATTAGAATTCCTATGCAAATTAGCAACTATTTATAACACGTACTTAATTAACACCTACCTACATTAAGTGCAGATAATGTTATACTAGTAAGAAGACATACGATTTAATAATTGTCGATGACAGTATAAATTTTGTACCTGCGTATCTACTTGGTAATAGTTTAGTATCAATGTGCAGTTGCACAGTGATACTAAACTAAAACCATAGAATATTATAAATAAGTGGACAAGATATTTATCTTGTGGGCATTTGCCCACTTTATGTTGGCAAGTTTTTGACAGGCATGGAGTGATATTTTGTACAGTAGTTATGCAACCATAACCATTCCCATAATTACGACGAATCATTAAAGTCAATCACAATTCTTTCATGCTTCATCACGCTTAGTGATCGGGAAATTCAATTACAAAAATCCAGTGTAATATTTTCCAATTGTACTGGAAAATATTACACTGGTTTTATTAGCAGTAAAATTAAAGCCTAGAAAAAGTGTAAGTAAAATTACATATAATAAATGAAAAACTTAGGCTTAAAAATGAAGTTCTCAGTTCGTTGCGAATAATAACATCTTTTTTTGTGTATGGTTGTGAAGTCTTCACTAAATTGATGATAATTTTAGCCGCAATAGCTAGAGTATATTCCTTTGTCGGTATTATACTAATTTTGGAACGAGTTCTGTTTTTTAGTACTTTTAGCTTCGACTTTACTGTTAGGCAGTACTGTCAAATTTAGAGTGTGCGTTCTCACACACATGCAAACTTTACGCCTACTACACTCTATCGTATCACTATTCGATCGCACTTTTGATTTGTTCATTTAATGGGTCGATGCCTAACATTGAGTCTAGGGACCGCAACATCGATATGCCGGCTTCACGAACTTAACTCATCACGTGTTAATTTGCCAGGATACAATAAATTAATCCAACCTTTTGCTTAATCCAACCTTTTTGGACCAACAGTCAAGTTTCTTGCTCATTCTTCTTGTGACGAGTCTGCATTCCGAGTGAGTGGTAGAATAAAACAATATGACTATTCAAAAGTGCTTGTATTCAGTTTATTTGAATAAAGAACATTTCTATTTCTATTAAATTTAATACGAGTTTGCAGTTTACCATGCCTGAAACAAACGAAAAAGTAGAATGTATGTACTATTTGTAGTATAAAAGTTTTTCTACAACATTGTAGGAAATAAAATATAAATAATATAAAGTGGCCTTGATACTCGAATTTGACAATCTTACCTACTACAGCACCTGTATTGATAATGTCCATTCAGTATTATCATATCTATCTATTAGTTTTTGTTCTTATGTTAAGTTATATTAAGAAACCTGATATGTATAGTGACATTTATAATATGTAGCATAGATATGTTACTTACCTTACCTACTTTAGGTACCCACAAGCAACAGGTTATATGTAATTTTTTTATTGGACATACCATATACCTACTGATATAAGTATCCAATAAAAAAAGATTTCTCTAATGGTATAAAATATTTCGGAGACGGATAGTATAATAAATGAAGACATTGGACGTAGAGGATATACTGTAGGTAGAAATATGATGATATCTGAAGTCTATTGTGGTTATTTTCCATTGTGAGTTAAGATGGACATACACTTATTGAATACGCTGGAGAAGCTAAATTAGGAGTATTTTATAGGTACTCATGAATCTGCGCTCACCATCTAGACTACCCAACTAGACACAATAAAAATTATGACGACATGATACATCAGTTTCCAGGAATTTCAATAGCGTAACCAAATACAAACTTTGTATCAAAATGGAATAAAAAGTAGACCAAATGTTATTCCTAAATATTTTTTATATAAAAATGTTACAGAAATATAAATTAAAAATATTGAAATATACAACCAGTATTGGATAGATTGAAAAATATATCTTTTAGAGCTCACACGCCAAATTATCATAATAATTGCCCAACAGACTTTTACATAATCGAATAAAAATGAAATTAATAAAGATAAGGCTACTTTTGCTCAAATTGTTTCTAATCAACATAATTACTGCATTAAATAAATTAGGTCACTCTTGAAACCTTTAATAATACAATTTTAGTTTTAAAGTCAGCCTTCAGAAACAGGCGGAGTCGCGGGAAACAGTATGTATTAAATATTAGTAAAACTACATATCAACATTGTGAGTTCTATAGTCGGTCCGTGACGTATTTTAGTTCAATATTTTATTTACTAACTATATTAGTTCAATAAAAGAATAATATTATTTAATTGTTTTTTGCAACAAATAAAATAAATTAGTAGTCCTTGCAATACATTACTACAGAATGATGCTGGTGTAGACCAATCGCCTAATGTAAATAATTCATTTTTAGTACTTATAATAGTACTTCTAAGGGAATTCATAACACAAGCAAAGAAAATTACTGATATATGACTCGATATAAATGTGTTGTCTCCTCGATATCAAAATGCACAGGTATCTACGTGAGAATACTGTCAATCTTTTTATTACCATCTGAGTATAACAATGTTATCTGCCATCAATCTAACAATAATAATATGTAAAACATTATCGGACTTATATTACAATATATGTACTTATATAGTACAGACTAGTATTTATAACAATATATTATACTCTTATAACGATAATATACTTCGACTTCCAGGTGATAATATTTGACAGCGACAAAATGTAACTTGCTAAATTATATATTGTTATAAATACATTTCAGGACATACCATTGAACTTGGCACCCATTCTCACCTCTTTTGTCGTAGAAGTCAACAATCAAGGCATAAATCATAATATTAAACTCGGCTATCATTTCACATTTATGTTTTTGATGGGATATCATTACTTTTTGATAAATTCATATAGGTATATATAATATATACTAAATGTGTAATATACATATATATATATACATATGCCGAACTGGCCGTCCAGTACAAGATGAGCCATTTTGATTGGTTATATTTGTTAAGGTGTTTTCAACGTAACAAATAAGTAAATTATTCCTTTATTACTCTGTACCATCCAAATGCTTGATATAATAAAAAAACCGTAAACGACAGTACTGCATTAAATAACTTATCAAACAAATTCTATTACTACACGTTTTACGTCGTCTATGCGTTTACGCTATTCTCAGAAATGGCTTAACCGATTAGAATGCAGTTTCCATTAAATTCATATAGAACGTTGTCAAGTACTTATATAAACATGTTTGTTGCAGGTGATAATATTTCTACTAAAAGTTCATATATGTATATATAATATATACAAATGTGTAATATATATATATACATATGCCAAACAAAAATATAAGTTATTTATATTGTACCATCCAAATGCTTGATATAATAAAAAAACCGTAAACGACAGTACTGCATTAAATAACTTATCAAACAAATTCTATTACTACACGTTTTAAGTCGCAGCTAGTTTAGTTATTAATAAAGTTATTATCTAAGTTCATTTTATGAAACAAAGTAATACTGACAAGAAGTTTTATGCGTCTGCTCTGTGTGGGTAGTCTTATCTTTTTTGCGACGACACATGTCACATACGGTTTGAAGAGTAGGTATGAAATCCAGCGTAATCACTGTCCATAATAGTCCTAACTGATTGTAGATAAGACATTGGTTCAATAAAGTAGTTATCTCTTCAAATGCTAAGCGTTAATATAAGATTATATTCTACAAAAAAAAACAGTCAGTCTTGAAATAATCTCTACAAATTGTACATAATAGTAATAAATAAATAATAAATACAAATTAAGTTAGTACTCAGAGTATGCATCTCATATATGAAGTATATATAATAATCTAAATGTATAAAATATACCAAAACCATAAAATATATATATATACATATATCAATTTGTAATTATATTAATTAGATGAAATTTACATTAAACAAAATTAGTAAAAAATATTCTATTTTTTATTATTTTATTTATTGCAATAGAGTAGATATAGAAAAATTCTTAGAATGCGTAAGAAGTTGTGAAAATTGATAAAAGTAAAAGAATTTCATATCGAGTTAATAATTATACTACATGCGACGATTACCTATTACTAAACTGACATATTACTTTATAATAATGATATTTCTGTGTATATAATTTTGATCTCTAATTTTATTTCCAACTAGGTATGTGGACTCATTATTAATTTCTACTATGTAAACATCTTATCATACGAAGTTATAAAGAAACGAGAGTATAATGTGCAATGTATCGT